CGTCTTCTTTTCCAGTTTGCAAAAAGACCTCCTCCAACGTCGTGAGATCCAAGGACACATTGGTGGCACCCGCTTCCCCTAATGCACGCAAAACCTCTGGAAACTTGGGTTCCGATCCATGCTCCAATCGCCATTCGTATCGTCCTGGAATCTCCAAGGGCAGCGGCTCGGCATCCGCTACCATGGTCGTAATGTCAATAGGTTCAGCTTCGACACTGTCAAGTCCGTATCGTAGAGTATAGCCCACCCCGAAGTGGTGTTTCAAGAACAAACTGCTTCCACACGTAATGAGCTTTCCATCCTTCAAAATACCAATGCGATCGCTAAGGACATCGGCTTCATCCAAAAAGTGCGTGGTCAAAATAATGCTGCGTCCCTTTTTGGCGGCAATGATCATATCCCAGATTTGTCGTCGATTGTACGGATCCATTCCGGCGGTCGGTTCATCCAAATACACCACTTCGGGAGATCCCAACAGCGCCAGCGCAATGCTGACTTTTCGTTTCATTCCACCCGAATACGTTCCGACGGGTTTGTCGGCATCGCCCGCCGACGTAAAGGCAATATCGTCGAGTCGCCGTTCCACTTCGTCTCGAATGGCATCCTCGTCCGGTTGATCCGGACTTTGTTTGGGGATGCGTCCCTTGAGTTGTGCAAATAGATACAATGTTTCCCGACACGTCAGATCCTCTTGCAACGACGTATTGTGTTGCGGACAAACGCCAATATTGCCTCGAATCACGTCGGCGTGATGGGGATTGTCCAATGCTGCGACGCCATTGGAAAAATGATACGTCACCGTTCCGTCTTGCACGGGTTGTTCGACCGAGAGCAATTGGACGGATGTGGATTTTCCAGCTCCATTGTGCCCCAGGTACCCAAAGACTTCACCACGACAAATATCCATATCGAGTCCGTGCAATACTTGTGTCGGTTGTGCCTTGCTGTCGCACATGGATTGGCAACAGCCCGGAGTATACGTGTGATGGAGTCCTCGTACTTGAACGAGCACGTCGGATCCGGGTGCCAATGGTTCAAAGTGTTCCGTGGTTGCTTCTTCCGCAGTCGCGGTGGGCTCATCTGCTTTTTGTTCGCTGTTGCTTTTGTTTTTGTTGTTGTGATGTCCATTCATGAATGCTCGCACATGCGGCGACGACATGAGCAATAACAGCGTCGTGTACAATACAATACAAGCCACTTGGGCAAAGTACACGCCCAACAATCCTGATTCTGACACGGTTCCATCCCCCCAATGAATACCGGTATCGACACCGGTATAATCGTATCGGGCATAGACAGCATAATACTGGAGGACACCACAGGTGGGAGAAATGACCGAAAACACGTAGAGGAGTGGAAACGTGGGACTCTCCACAATGACAAACGGCAATGTCAATGCCATGCTTCCAAACGCCGTCAACCACGGCATGCCTTGTGCCAATTCTTCTTGTTCAATGAGTTGACTCAAAAAGACAAACAGGCCATTGTATCCCAGAATTCCCAAATAATGACTGAAAAACAGCAATGCCCAGTTCGACAGTGGCATGAGATTGTAATACACACTGACCAATGTCAAGATGGTCGCCGTCAGAATGCCTTGGAGGCCATAATAAACGAGCCATGTCAAGACGTAGGTTCGCAATTTGACGCCGACGAGGACAAAACTTTGGACTTTTTGTGTGACGCGTTCATTGTGGGGCGTGCCAATCAAAAACATGGCCATAATGGCCGCCGCCAAACAATGCAAGAGTCCGGGAGCAATGACGAGTGCCATATTGGCATTTTGAGCCGACTGTTCCGGTTGAATCAACATGGGTGTCCGTTGGATTTTTTGGATCAAAGGCACTATTCTGGGATTGACCTGGAGTTGCAGTGGATCGAGGTTGATTTCCATATTGACAGTGTTGGGATTATTATTGGCTTGGAGGAGTAAGAGGGGATTGATGTGATTCTTCCAAATGGCTTGATGGACAGCGTATTGGGTTCCTGCCAATGGTGGAGCATAGGGTGTGGCAGTTTCCTTGCCGGGGTAATAGAGTATGACAGACGGGGGTGGAGCAAACAAGGTATTTTCGTTACTGGCATCCGATGTGGATTGGAGATAGACACAAATATCGGTGTAAGCCGAAGAAAGGTCGGCCAGTTCGCAGTCTTGAGAAAAGACGTCTTGCGTCTGATTGGGATAGAACACAGTTTCCATATTCGAGACGATGGTGGCATTGATTTCTTGTGCTACTTGGAGGGTGAATGCCGTATCATCACCGGCCAATCGCAGTTTGGAAGGAAACTCGAAATCGGCCCCTTGGACATCGAAGAGTCTCACTACTTGTTTGCCCTGACCAATATTATGGAGCACGACTTCATTGGCACTGTCACTCTTGTCGTAGCCGAGAAAGAACCCCACTGTGTAGAGCATGAGCATGAGGGGCAAACCAAAGATCCGACCAAACGTCAACCGAGGCTTTTTACGGTCATTCCGCCAATTCCGCCAAAACAGAATTGTACCATGTTCCAAGTCAGAAGGAGATGGAGTGGTGGAAGGAGTGGCGGGAGGTGGGTCCATGGTTTCAGTGCTTCAGTGGTTGGAAGGTAAGTCTTGGTGGTGTTTGTAGAGATTGTGTTGTGAAGAAGCAGATGTCAATTATTTATGACCCGAGGATGAAAGAGTTGGAAATTCGTTGCTTGGCACCAAACTCTTCTCTTGCTTGGTACCGTACCTTCACAATAAGTCGTGGCTGAAACTGGGGCATACAGATCAATAGAGCAGATGAGGTCCTACTACTTGAGTGCAGCAGTATCAGTACTGGCACTGATGAGTTCAGCAGTTTGTACTGTCTCTTGTGTTGTCTCTCGAACGGTGAACGATGGCTGCCCGTGCTACTTTCTTCTTCTTACTTTGGCTTTGGAAAGGGGAGCCCATGGGTCACGTAGCGAGGTGCGTGTCAGCGGTACCTCTCTTCACCACGACTCATATCTTTGATCTTGTGCTCTCCGCTGACATCCTCCCTCTTCTCCCTCTCTTTCAAGAACTTCGTCTAATCGGACCCACCGTACAAAACGATTGGGAGGCTCAGGCAAGGAATGAATGGTTGCCGGTATCCAACACGAATGCACAGCTCATGTAGAAAGGTACCGTACGAAGGAGTGATGGAAAGTGATGCTTGAAAGATCTGGGTATTACGGTACCGGACCTTGTTGCCACACGATTCAATAGTACGTATCTTTTCTCCTTCTCTGCTGTGCCTGCCATCCTGAAGTAGATCTTCAACTAGCTACACCTGACCTTCTCACTCAGGCTATTAAAGCCTACGGATCCCTTGATCTATCTAGTCTATCTATCTGCACGCATATGGTCTTGGAAGGAAGCCAGCCATGCAATGGGAGGTCGCCACGGCAAACATCTGAGGGAGGAAAGCAACAACCGGAACATGCACCGCCATCGTCCTCGTCTGACGAGCGAGATGCCCAACAATGGTTCTTCCACCACAAAAGCAAGACGACAGCCTACTTACCGGCACCGAAAATTAGAACACAACGATGGAACAACCTCGACTTTTGCATTACCATCAACGACGGACGGACGGACGGCGTTCGATGTTGTTAATCTAAAAAAAAAGGATACGAACCTTGGGGGCAACTGCCCAGGGTACTACCGGTAGCCACGCAACACCGAGTAAGGGTGGGACCACTTTGCATGGAAGAGAGAGAGAGAGGAGAGAAACGTTCAGCTTTGGCACCCAGGAGACCACCACCACCAGCAGAGGAGACAACAAACCAATGAAGTGGTGGTATTTTAAAATATGGTGTTGGGAGAGATGAGCCTGGAGACACGAGTACTTGCTTTTCTTGTCATGTTCTCCATTGTGAAGGACGCTCCCACTGTTCTAGGCTGGCGCGCTGAGTGGATGGTCTTGAAATGGGCTCATAGCCCAGCACAAACTCAACAAGAGAGGAGGCTACACCTCCCAACAACAAACCATGAAGCTGCAGAAGCCTAGATTGGCAGCCGCTAAAGGTCGCTCCGTGAAAGAGGAAGAGGCTCCGTGTCATCAAACGAAAGAAGTCGCCAGTTCCGTGCGAACGGCTGTAACTGGCTATTAATAATTTTAAAAGTTTATTAACAAGAATTTTGTAAAAACGAAAGTAACCAAAAAGTCCAAATGAATCGAGTCCCACGAAAGCGACGCAGCGACGTCGCTGCGTCGTCGCTGCGTCGTCGCTGCGACGCTGCGTCGCTTTCGTGGGACTCAATTTGAAACCAACATTATTTTAAATACGTTTCAAAATATCCAATCCACAGCCTGCCAGTGCCCACCGTTGAGGCGTCGCTTGTGGCTTGTGGTTGCCGCTTCAGCGGCTTGCATGGAATCACGTACGTGACTGTATCCGTCTTCCAATCTCGCAGTCCGTCAGACTACATGTGTGATACCGTACGTCGGGTATGGCGCCCTACCAGTTATGATACCGGTACATGTACTTTTACGGTACAGGATTGGCGGCAACCTGACAAACGGCCAGCTTTTGGACCCTTTTTCCTGTTTTCTCCAAGTGGCTGACGGATAGTTACACTCTAATCGAGAACGGGGGTTATGAGTACGCGGGTAGATAGCCAACGAGGGCCAGGCTAATTCATACTAGTTTCTAACCAACAATGGTGGCAAAAAATAACTATGCAGCATCCTGATGCCTCGAATCTGCCTCAGAACGACAAATTGACACCTCGAAAGCTCGGAATGAACACTACGAAACACTACTAGTAGACTACTGTATGAATTCAGGAACAAGCAGTCACAAGCACGATATTGCTTGTGTCTCGATGATACAGCCTTTGCCAACTTTTTTTTTAAATGTGGACCGAGAAGCAGAGGAAAGTGTACTGAACACCGATGATGGTGAACTTACAGAATCTGATAGGCAGAAGCTGGTGCTTCATACAGTTGACGCACGTCAAATGGAATTTCGATTTCGAAAAGCTTGCACTAGGGATGGGAGAAAACCAGAACGTGTTGCCATCACGTTCGCTTGCCATTGGAGAAAATCCAAGGATGGCTGGATTGAATATGACTCATACATGAGAGCAAAACTGTGCAAAGATTGGCGTTCTCTCCAGAAGAGAGACTGAAGCAGGAGAGCGAATTCACTCAATCACGACGACCACGACACGAAAAAACTTGGAGCTTGTGATCTAGCTAGACGGTACCGTCAGCGATGATCGAATCCAGCCCCCACCCTTCTTCGTGTCATCCCGGTACCTTCAAACGGCTACTGACAGTGACACCCTGCTGAATCGAGCAATGCGCCATATCAAGCGGCACGCACCACCAATTCCATCGAGGATTCCAACGAAGTCAAAACTTGGTCTGCTTGATGGGATCCGCACTCCTCACTGCAGTGAAGCCACAAAGACAGATTCAGCCCCCGCTGGCTGCTGCAATTCTCGATCGATGAGGCTGTGGTGCGATTGCTTCTCCTGCTGTCGGCGCAAATGAAGCAAGGAACAGCAGCAGGTCTAGCTAGCTAGCTAGTAGATCGGAAAGGAACTTGGCAAAGCCAATGCTCCTGAACTGACCTGGCTGCGTTTCATTTCATTGAGAAAGCAATCGTTTGCAGGGGAGGCGACATGGATGCACGAACACGCGACAAGCAGCAAAACAAGCGAACAAATGCCAGGAAGAAGAAAATGTGGCCAAACGTTTCCAAACTTGTCGAAACAGACATCATCAAACTTGATGACTACTGGTACCTACTCTAGACCCTTGTCGCCCCTTTTCCCAAATTCCACCTCTTGTTTGCCTTTGCCTGGCCCCCACCGGCTTCCATGCATAGATACGGTAGCTTCCCTACTCTAACCGGCCGATCTACGGTACCGGTACCGGTAGCCTCCAGAAGCACGGACTTTTAACCTCAGCACACGGCAAAGACCGTTAACTAAACATACATGTACGGGTTGATTACGCGATCCTGCCCAACTTTGCGGTAGTTTAACTCTAACCCTTTTGAAGATCCAAACGGCAGCGACAGCAAACAAACCGCGACAATGGCCAACCAACAGGATCGAGAGGCCCGACGCCATGGGTCGAGACAGAATAGGTATCTCAGGTAGTAGTAGTACCAGTGGTGGGAGGAAGAGAGCGATCATTCACCTTCTGCTAGCAGTGGTATCCTTTTCCATTGGGAGAACATGTAGGTATCTTCAAGACGACTTTGTTGGATTCTCGAGGGACGATGAGGAAGATTTGGTTCGCTCCTCTCTGTGGACGAACAGCAAGAAAAGGATGAATGATCTAGACTATCAGGTTGCAGTCCAAAGTGACTTTCAACGAATGATTCAGGCAATGGTACAAGTAGGGCCAGGAACAGCAGCAAGTCAAATCTGCGCAAAGGCCACGGAGGCAAAAAGATGGATGGTGTCACAACTGGAACACCCCAAAGATGGATTTGCCAGTGAATTCCAGTATGTGTCTAGGCTATTGCAAATGTCAGTGTCAACACAGCGTCATCTTGTGCTTACTCCCGAATGGCAATCGGCTTATGAACCCCCTGATTGCCGTCCCAAGCTTAACCAAGATCAATCCGGGTGGGACTGCCTGTGGGAACCCATGCTTCCTGCTTGCTCTACTGAACAGATACAACGACAACAGAAAAATACAGAGAATCCACTCACAGCTAACAACAACAACAACAACAGGCAGATGCTCTCCGACAGCAATCCTCTGAGTGTTGGTATCCTACCCAAGAAGAAAGCTACCAGCAACTGGTTTGACGTGGCTTGGTACTCACAACAACAACAACAACAACAACCGCAAAGCATCATGTGGGCTCCAACCAGTTTTTCTCGGAAAAAGACGGACCAGTTGAAGCCAGATATCATTCCACACTGGGAACGTATGTATGGACGGTACTGGGTGCGGGCACAAATGGCCCATGCTTTGTGGCGTCCAAACACCTTTCTACGAAACAGCATTGCCAACAGACTTCCTCCTGCGGATGGATTGTTCCAATTCATGATGATGAATACTACTCATGTTTATACTCCACTGTTTATTGGATTTCATATTCGGCTAACAGACAATGCACAAGACATGCAACGGCACTTTGCCCGCAATGCTACTCAAACCAGGAACCTGGCCAGGTTCATGGCATTTGCAGAGAGGATTCGGGATCTTCATCATGCTGCCTCTGCAGTCTCTTCTTCCAGCAACACGAGGCAGCAACCAAGGCTCGACACAATTTACCTTGCCACTGACAATCGGGATATTCTGAAACAAAGCAAGGATCCTCAATGGAAAGAACGTGGCTGGACGTTTGTCACTCAAACGAATACTGTGGAACGATCCACCACCACCGATAAACGCATGTGGTTCCGAGAAGGCCGCAGTGGCGCTGCTGGAGCTATTGCCACTGATATTGAAGTCTTGCGACGGGCGGATTATCTTGTGGGATCATTTCAAAGCAACGTTTATCGTCTGGCTTGCCAACTCAACACGGCCTGGAATGTGCACAAGTATCCATGGGAACTGCAGCGCCACTGGACGGTCGATGTCGAATGGTACGAAGATCCATAAAAACTGAGATCTGTCCGCCAGCAAGCAAGCTAGCTAGCTAGACTTCTTCTCCACAATGAAAGGCTCCTATTGATCGACAGCGAGCTTCTTCCGTCGGTCGACACATCGATGACTGCTTCCACGGAGCCAGCCTCTTTTCGGAGGGACCATGGCGCCTCCGCGGAACCGACTGCCGTGATGCCTCCATCTGTGGGAAGAAGTGGAAATTGGAACAACAACTGAATGTCTACT